CCGTCGGTCCGGAAACACGGCGAAGGCCCTGCGGAAGGCGGGCCCCGCCGGGCAGGCCCGAGGCTGCGCCAGCGCGCAAGGCAGGGGCAGCGGCCGCCCCGAGTCCCGGGGGTCGTTCTCCTCGATCAGCCGCGAAAGGACCACGGAGGAAAGCGCCTGTGGGTGTGGTGATGCCAGCGTCTCCTGGAAAAAGGAAACAGAGCGCGGTGAGTCCCCGGCCCGTGGGCACGGCTGGCGCTCCACGAACCCTCGAGGGCCGGCGGCGGACAGGATAGCACACCTGATCCGTGTAACAACAATAACAATAACAACAACAACAACACCTGATTCGGCCATCGGGTTACCTGTCTAGTGTGAGCTTATGTAACCATGTGTTGTGTGAGTGGCGATCATCATCCCCCACAGATTCAGGGGTCCTCAAAGACAAGGTACATCCTGAGGGGAGAAGACAGAATCCGGGGGAGAAGGGTGACTGGCCCTGGCAGGCCGGGGTTTGGGGTTCTAGAGTGCTAGGAGCCCCCTCCTACCTGGTCCAGCTCTGGTCCTTCACTCCTGCTGATTTAGATCAACTCATCCGCCTGCTCCTCTCCCCGCCCTCTCCCCAACTTGGCTCACTACTTACAGGAGAACTCAAGACAATGGAAGCCCAGTGCCCTGGCGGACAACTGTCTGGACACACACTGGGACAATCAGGTGATTTCACCTCCCAGGCTGGGGAGAGAGGGAGGGGGGTGTGGGCCAAGACTGATTAGGACCAGCAGTGATGTGGCCTTAGTGCATTTCCAAGCCCAGCTGCAATTTAAAATGATGAAGGCGTTTCCATCCACCATGTTAAAATGATGAAGGCATTTCATGCTGCCTAATCAGAAGACCGTAAGTCCTAACAGTAAATCACTGGTGTGTCCAAAACTGTGTGATTTGATTTTTTAATATAGCATCTAACTAGACTCTCTTTGGGTAAAACCTGTTTTTAAAAAAAAACTGTCTAGAAGGGCAACCATGTAAAAAGCTGGGAATGTGCAGTCTGGAACTCAATTTTTTTTTTGCCAGTCCTGGGGCTTGAACTCAGGGGCTAGCACTCTACCACTTGAGCCACTATGCCACTTCCAGGTTTTTCTGAGTAGTCTATTGGAGAGAAGAGTCTCACCGACCTTTTACTGTCTGGACTGGCTTCTAACTTCAGTCCTCAGATCTCAGCCTCCTATTAGGATTTCAGACATGAGCCACCAGCACCTTGCCCTTTTTACTCAAGACTGGCAATCTACCATTTGAACCAAACTTCCCCTTCCAGGCTTGATTTTTGATGATCCGTGGAAGATAGCACTCTTATGAACTTTCCCTGCTTGGGCTGACTTAGAACTGCTGTGATCCTCAGATCTCAGCCTCTTCAGAAGGCAGAATTATAAGCCGGGTGCCCGTGGCTCACACCTGTAATCCTACCTACTCAGGAGGCTGAGATCTGAGGATTGCAGTTCAAAGCCAGACTGGGCAGGAAAGCCTGTGAGACTCTTATCTCTAATAAACCACCAGAAAACTGGAAGTGGTGCTGTGGCTTAAGTGGTAGAGCACTTGCATTGAGCTGAAGAGTTGAGGGACAGTGCCCAGGCCCAGAGTTCAAGCCCCACGACTGACACACACACACAAAAAAAAGGCAGCAGAATTATAGGCGTGAGCCACCAGTGCCACTATTTGATATCTGTTATTGCACATATTTAAAATGAACGTTTGCATGAGAATGCACAGCATCAAGATCCATATGAACAACTCTCTAGATACAGCCCATTGCTTGCAGAGAATCTTCTCCTTGGAAGCCCCAAAGCATATCTGGGGTACCCCACAGATCCCCAACCCCAACATGCATGACATCGCAGTCTCCCAGCTCAGATTCTGATTCTGGTGGCTGTGGGTGGGGCCTGGGTACCTGGATTTTAACCCACATTGTGGCGATTCTAATGGAGGTGATTGAGAACCACACTTGGGCTGCTAACAGAGCCCCGAGGCTGCTGGTCATCTGAGGGACCACTTTTGGAGAGGACAGGCCTGCTTATGTTAGGACCTGCAAGACTGCTCGTCTGAAGCAATGGAGCATTTTTCTTTACTTCAAGACAGAATCAATACCCATTTGGTCAACTATTGATTGAGTGTTCTCCAGCTGGACATCGGAGCTGCACATTCACACAGCCTCGGGGTCCAGCAGGGGCCATCTTAGCAGCCCCTAGGCCTTGGATCACTTCTGCTGGATATGGGGAGCATCTCTATCACCTCATATAATGTTAGTTAGATTTTTTTAAGATATTAAGAGAAGGTACAAATTCAAAAGGAGGTGAGCATAGGAGAAATAGGTAAGAGAGTAATTTTAAGACCTGTTGTTTTTTAAATCTCCAGCTATAGGAAAAGAACAAGGACATTTCCCCTTCTCCCTCAGTCTCACTGCTACCTCCCACTTCAAGGTCCCGCTTCAAGGTCACAGGCTGTGGTGTCTCTAGGGCACCAGGCTGGCTGAGAGTCCTGCTGTGAGTGGTGACCCTCACATTGGGGACCCTCCCCAATGCTCAGGCCTCCTCCTCCGACAATTCCGGGAGCATCCCTGGCCAGAGCTGGTGGCAGGTGTCAGTGTTTCCTAAGCTCGCTGTGTGATGCCAGCGGGCAAATGTTACTGTGCTACCCTCCTGCTTACTCACGCCTCTCCCCCAGATCACGTTTTCATGGCTCTGATTTACATGAACAAAAATGGCAGCGCACCTGGTGCCTGTGTGAAGGTCCACAGTCCCTCCCATTTTAGTTAAATTTAGTTCTGATAATAATTGTTCATTCCCTGCAAAGTGCATAATCACACTCAGTGGGAACTCCTCTGACACTTGACTTTGGAGGAAAAACACACAGATATACAGACAGACACACAGACAGACACACACACACACACACACACACACACACACACACACACAGTCTCAGAAGCTACAGCATCAGTCTTATTTTCTAGTGCAATGCTTGTCCAAGTTTAAACGTACAAAAATGTGTGTGTGTTGATTTCTGGGTAATTCCCTCCCTAGGCTTACATTGAATCAAGATCAGTGGGGAGAAAGCTCAGAGTCTGTATTTTTAATAAACTCTCAGTGTTCCTTCTGTTCAGATCTGATGGAAAGAAAGCTTAGCTTAGTAGATGGAGGCCACTGGGACCCATCCTGAGCTATAAGAGGCTATAGAACCTTAGAAAGCCTTGATCTCCAGAGTTGGAGGGCAAGGAGAAGACAGGGGTGGTACCTATGAGAACATAGGCTTCCTGAAATCTCTGGTCCCATAAAGACCTGGGAATCAACAAGGAGATTTTGCTAGACATGAGTGGCTATAAGCTTGGCTTGAAGCTGGGACAGAAAAGACTCCGACACTGGCAACATTGGCTTGCCTCCATTTGGGCTGCTAGGGGGCTCAGGCCAGAGCTGTGGTACCCACACATCGAGGGCTGCCCTTGGGCTGTAAGACATGGACACCATGCTGGAAGGGCACAGAGGCCCGAAGACAGGATAAGGTGTCAGTCACCATTTTATTACCTGGGACATGGCAGATGTTACTGTGATTGTGACCCTATCAAAAGAAGAGTGATGATGAACTCATTTCTGAAGCTCTGGAAGCATGTCTGACCTCAGGGGACACTGCGTGGGGACTCCACGGACAGCCACCCAACTTCACAGGGAAATCTGGTGGCCTTCTCTTCAACTAGGGAAGGGATGGGAGATCATAAAAGTACCTCTGAGTCTAAGGAATTCCAGGAATGGCTCTTCCTATGTCTCAGCAGCCATCAGTGGGTCACTGATGGCATCAAACCCACCAAAGAAGCAGTCCCGAGCTCTGTCGTGTGTCAGTAGGAGGTGCAGGATGCATGTGAGGTCATTTGAGCTACACAAGTGAAATGGTTCAGCATGTCTGATACGCTGAAATGATCCTAACAAGAATATATGATGAGTGTGCTGAGATGTGAGTTCTTTATTCGAAACATACAGACATGGTCAAACCATTTGTCTAATTGTTCATCTGACAGATGTTAATAAAGTGCCTACTTTATTAGCTTCGATAAAGTGCCAGGCAACCAATGCTGGGGGCACTGGGCTCACTCCTGATCTCAAAGTAGCACCAACCTGGTGATTCATGTACCAGGACAGAGTAACTCCGAGTGTTTAGACTCAGTTGTGACAAGAGCTCCCCTAAAATTGGGAAGAATTAAAAGGGAAACACTTTGCTCTGTGTTCTTTGAGATACATAATACTCAGGGAAATTTTACTTAAATCCAATTTTCTAGTTGGGACCTATTAAATAATCAGAGATAATGTGCAACCTTTAAGAAAATCTATATTTGTTTGCTGGAGCGGTTACAACCATGTCTACAGGCTGGGTGGATTAGGCAACAACTTACTGTATCCTCGTTCTAGAAGCAGGAAGTCTGAGGTCCAGGTGTTGGTAGGCTGGCTTTGCCCCAGGCCTCTCTCCCTGTCTGTCCTCCCATGCTCTTCCCTCTGTACCTGCCTGGGTCCTAATCTCTTCCTCATCCATTCATACTGGATGGGGGCCCATGTCATGACCTCATTTGCATGTCATTATCTTTTGAGAAATCCTCTCTTCAAATACAGTTACATTCTGAGAACTGGGGTTCAGAACCTAATCTATGAATCTGTGGGATTCAGCTCGTCACCCACCACAGCCATCATTTTTGTTATTGTTCAATGCTTCCTCTGAGCCTGGGAAAGCAAGCAGGACAATAGTAAGGGTTGTGTGATATTCCTGAACCAGCTACTACATTTAAAAGTGGGTGAATCTGAAAAGTAACTGCATCTCTTATAGCATATATCTTCCCAAATCAGGATGATGCCCCATCTGCCTTTTAGACAGAGTTAACTAAATGTGGCATTGAAAAGAGATTTCTTTCATCTAAAATAAAGTTAACAGATGTAAGATTTGACATAAAAAAGAGAGGAAAATTATCTTGCATTTAAAGTAGCACACTCAAGGTTAGAGAGAGGTCAGGTGAATAGCTGGATTTGTGTCTTGCTTTGTCAGTAAACCATCCGTTTTCTGACCACCACCATTCCAACACATTTTTTTTTTACAATTTCTTTTTCATAGATGCTACGTTATAGATATTGATTTCTTTAAATGCTTTGAACATGATTTTGTAGAGCTGGTAAATGCACTCATAGTTTTATGGTTTTTATTGACTGTTTTTAACTTTATATTTATGCCTTAAGGCATGTGACTAAGAAGGCCATCATTTCATAAATTGAAATAAGAGAGAGATGGGAGGCAGATGATCAGAGAAATCCGATCCTGAGCTCCTGTAGTGC